TGAAACATGGGGCGGCCTGGTGCAGCACATTCAGTTGTCTGGAAACATCACAAACGAGGGATTCAGCTGGGTTCCAGGTGAGTCTCTCGAAAAAACCAAATTAGTTGCAAATGGGTGTGTATTCGTCACAATAGTAGTCTGAAAAAAGTTAAGAAGATTTGCCGGGAAGTTTTCATGACGTTATCGCTAGAACGCACATCACTCTGATAAGATTATGATCAAAATCTTAGACGGTAGGGGTAAGCATCTCGTCTGAGGTTTGTGATTATTAGGTCGAACGTCCACCGATAGAATAAACGGTGAACTAAGGTCCACTAACGGCACGCAGTCCGTATCAATACAAACGTCCAGTTGACCAGAAATATGGATCGTACACGAATTGTTGTTCGTGACCATTGTTCCGTGCGATATAAAGGACTGTAGATCCATTGAAGAGTTTGGGCAGTCCATTCAGACAGGTCGTTGCTGCCTGTAACACGTAATAAGCTAACGCGCCAAAAATGTCATCATACACGATCGTTAGATGCTCACGAACCCAGTGGTAGTGAGATGAAGAACTTACCTTTTGGAAACACCGAAAGCATGAGGATAGAAGCTTTTGGATCAACCTGATGCACAAACCCATGGCGCAACAGATTTGCCGCGTCATTTCGACCATCAGCGTGAGTCGATTTGGTACATGTTCCAGAAGCAGAGGAATTGGTTTCTCCTGCATAGATGCTACACATAGCCACCGTTTTTGTCTCTTGCAATGCGCTCGTTAGAAGCTGAAGAAACGGTGTCCGGTTCTCATCTATCATACAGATGAATAAGTGCGAAAAACAAAGGTCAAGCAAGAAATCAACCGCGGAGAAATTACCTACGGAACAAGAAACTAAACCGTAAAAAATCGGACAGCTTACATGAAAACAGGATCGTTCCACTGTAGATCCTATGGTATTGGGCTACAGCGATTGTGAAAGAGCACTTTTCACTCATACCAACTGGCTAGAAGACTTAAAGAGAACTCTGTGAGAAAGTCAGAAGGAGGTTCATGAGAGGTGGGTGGTTCAGGCACCAGACTCTGTCCTAACAGCTACTGAGTCGCCGACAACCCTGCATTTTCGACTTTTATTATTAGGGGATGAAAAATTTGTTAATAAATTTCTTTGAACTTTTTCCAGAAGGATTTTGGATCAAAAGTTCAGTCTGTAAAAAACTGTTTAGTGTCAGAAGTACATAAAGGGAGACACTGTGGGACAGTGAGGTCTGGAGTGCGTAGGCGGATCGTGATCACCCGACTTTAGACAGCAGCCGGAAATTTACGAACCGTGACCAAACGTTAGGTGCCCGGCGGATGATGTGAGAGGTTCGAACTCAAACTGCTGCATGAGTGATTCTGGACAGGTAGGAAGCAAGCTGCCTGAACATCCGCAATTTTCACGGGTAAGAGGAAAACAAAGTATTTTCATGTATTTCATCAAACAAACATCTCAAGCGATTAACATACGATGTACGGCATGGGTGAGTGAATGATCATGCACGATATCTGGTGTTGTGACTTGGGAATTGTCTTTCAGTGGCAATACGATTACGGGCTAGGGGAAATAAATTAGGCTGGATAAGGAGACGGAAAGCATCTCTCTCAAACCCTCCAATGGAAGTTATGGTCCAGACGGCTCAGTAGGAAGAATAACGGACTCATACTTGGAAGAACCGAGATCGAACCCATAATTGGCTGTCGGTTACCATCCAAGGGATCCGTAAGATTGTTGTTTCGAACAAAGTGACTTGTGAATTCTTCCACGGATTGGATCAGAATGACAATTATGTGAACGGGACCAGGCGAGTGCTTCCACTGATCAGGAATCTTCCACTGCTTTACAGTCTCAGGGTTTTCTTTTCTCATGTGCTCATATAAGTGCAGCAGAGTGCAACATCATTGTGGGATCTCAAACTTGGACACTTTAGAGTGGCCATGAAACGGTTCTTTAGGACAGGTATCAAAATTAGTACTTGTCTTCCTCGTGAAAGCATAATCATGCTGCTATGCAGAGTCTCAAAAAATAAGCACCCATAATAAGAAATCTATGAGCGAGTACAGACAAAAAGCAGCATGACGATACGACCCGTTGAATTTGTACAGGAAATGAATGGCCGGATTTAGAGCGAATCCCCCCCCCCCAGAATATCGAAGAACGGATAGAAGTGACATAGAATCATCAAATTCCATCCTTGTTTGGAATACCTAAAATGTCACTCAAATCACTCACCGGAAACATTGCTCACGTGATGTCGGCTGACAACAGGAGGGTTGCTCAAATCACTCGTGTGTAGAAACCCAAATATTTCCAGGCGAAGGGAAGTGGGTGACTCTGACGACCTAGGACAGAATTGTGGAACCAAATGCATGTGTTGATGGAACAGATGAAGTGGGCAGGATAACGGATAACAGTGAAGTGAGCTTGAAGTGGTGCCCTAGGTGGCGGGTATGGTGAAACGGCACAAGCAAACATTTTAGCTATTTCCAGGAGGGCTAACAAGTACCATGCATGTCGAGACTCTGTAAAATGTCAAACATCCCACGAACTATAGCTGGTTACAAGTATATACCCTAGGATGCCGATCATTGGCCGTAGATTGATGGTTCACACCCCGCTTCTATCTAGACCTATGGGTATCTTGGTCCCCAAAAACTCTACGGGTTGCAGCCAGCTGTCCAGAAGATCGGTATCACTAAGAACAGCATCAATACTAGACACCGATGCATCGCTGCCATCGAAGTGATGTTCGCCGTATTGTCGATGCTGAAATGTGACGAGGTGGCAGGGTTTTGAAATTCATGAGGAGGTACTTAAGTCCCTATTCAGTACATTCCAGAAAAGCGCGTCAGTCAGTAATTGAGTGTTGTTAATATTCTACGTAAGCTTTGGAAGGACGCAGCACCATATCCCGAATATGTGGTCCAAAAAGGAAGTCATCTACGACAGAATAACCCGGTCCTATCCACTAATTTGCAACTGTTTATTGTCATTCACATACGGCTTAGCGGGGCTGCTGAATTAATTCGGCTGCAAAGGCATAAAATTTGGGTTATGGGTAGACATCAGTGGTTGCAGAACTGAACAGCTGGAAAATCACTGACCTCTTGCTCTATTGTCTGGTCTTCACATACCATCCGCAAAGTTGACAGCTAGAACCACTGTACATTCGCTCGCGTTTACAGTTGAAGCATTGCTGTGCAGGGTAGCAAAGGATGTATGATCCATCCTTTCCGGATACAATGATAGTAATACAAGTCGGAGGTCATTCAAAATAGCTATAGTATCCATACATTTACCACATCAGATACACGGATGAATGCAAGTCAACTCACTCATAGTCTGTTATCCGCAATACAGGTGCCAACTGGACAGAACTATTCAAATGGCCACATCGGAGAGATACTTCGCAATTCCGACCGAACCCATGGTTCACTAAACACGTTCGTACGCAGTAATCCGCGAACGAACCAAGATCATCCTCGGTCAGCGGCGCGCCACCGTTTGTTTGTTGGTACTTCTTCCACGATAAAATGCCTGATCGTGGTAGGAACTGGCGGTAGGTCCGAAGGATGTCAGGTGAAACCTCGAGGGATCATTCATTCCAACAGTAATGAGCTCTACTTACCTGATCGTCACTTAAAGTTATGACAGTGAGCGATGCATTAGACTGATCCATCTTTGGTAACCATGGCAATTGTGATGCGACGCTGTCATCCGGAGCCGGGTGAAGGAACGGCGAGGCGCCTCCATCTGTGAATAAAAGGATCTAAGCAAGCTGGAATGACACTCAGTGAAAACAGAAAAAAGATACCTGGATGGTGGCTGACGGTCCCCAGTACCTGAAAACCTCTGTAAGGGTCCACAGAACCAAATCGTTCAACTTTTGTTGTACTAGGGGATTCGGCTCCTCCAGTTGATCAATCGCCAAATGCAGGGTGGGTACATTGTCCGAAAAGGTCGTTAGTTTCGGACTGTTTTCAGACCAGTTAGGTTGGACCTTGCAAAAGTACAGAAACCGGATATAAGACAAGAAAAAAGGGACACTATCTCATTCACTGGCAAAAACTACCGCATGAAATTTTAAATGACAATGCTTTTATTGTTCCATACTTGGAGGTTTAAAACTTTCGCATAGACCTAATACACAAATACTCGACCGTAGGTTGAGTATTTAGTAATCCTCTACAGACCTGTTGGAACAAACCTCAATTCCCGGAGGCGTCGTTGTATGAGGTCAGTGGTTGTTGGATATGCACAAATGGTGTTTCTTAAAGGCATGGCCCGAATTACACAACCAGTATCACTTGGTTTTTGTTTGAGGGTGCCTCTAACCTCCGAACGATCGCTTGAAATCAGGGTCAAGCCAGTAGCCCTTGATTCAGTGACTCTTCTAAAGCACGAACAAATTGAGTAGTTCAATGTCGGTGAGAGTTGGACTCGTATTCACGAGAACTTGCAAGCTGCAAGTCCTAAGGCTCAGAAGGCATGAGAATATCCTATAGAAAACGGGTGTTTGGGTCGTGACTTCAGGAATCTTGAGAAATGACGCTCAATGTATATAGGTCAAAGTAATTCATGAACTGTAGTCACTGTGAATCGGAACAAGTGGATAGGCGTTCATTCTGAAAACAATGACACCAAAGTATAAAGCGGAGTGCAGTACACTCACACTGGCTAGCGCTGACGCTCGAGATGAAAGCGCCATTCAACCCACCTAGTTCACGTGGTTTGCTAATCCAAGCCTTTGGGTTGAGTTGCTAGTCAACGTGATGATCGTAACAGGACGATAGAGAATAGTTGTTTGCTGAAAATTCTGAACTCCATTTTGCAACATAAGCGGCGCGAATAAGGATGATCCAGGCCACCACTAATCGCATTTTCAAACCCCTCGAAGCAGTGATCAACGTTCCGGAAATAGAAACAGTTCCAAAACTACCTACTTCGCAGAGTTCGTGCATAGATTATTAGTTTGCGCAGAAGCACACTCCAATTTACCTGTTACCTAGGCATTAATGCACGACTCATCAATCTCCACTTTTCGTGCTCTCCTGGTTTTTTTCCCGTGCGGAACGATAGGTGCTTGAGCAGTCAAGATGCTGAGGTTGGGTTCGAACCACGAAAATCTCGGTGTGTAAGCAGGCGTTTTAACCACTAAGCTACCTCGAGCTCTTGAGGAATACCCCGTGGAACATAAATGTTCCTTCCTGAATATATTGTTTTCATGAGTCACGTAAAACTCACGAAAAACTTCGTACCAAGGAAGGACACCTCGAAACCTTGGATGTTGTCATCAATAAGTTGCAAGCGAGGCTCCATGCCGCGCATTCAGTTGAAGAACATTGTACACAAGATATATTTGAACCACAGATTAACGTCATCTTAGTAAGAAAATGAATTAACTCTGCCGTCCTCACAACAGAAGAGGCCCGCCTTTTCAAACTGGAAACAGACTTCAAAGCCCGACTGTCCCGCTACGCTGTGTAGTCAATTTCCACATAGGTGAACAGGTTGCTGCCGGCTGGTTTATCAAGCTGGTCGCAGGGCAGTAATTGGTTGCTATCAACTGCATCTTCCAACATCTGAATTTTTCTACTCATTTCTTTGGCCGTGATTGTGACAGTACATAAACTCTGAACTCATTCTTGACTAACATAGTGTACATATTTTTCCAGCCCACTGACATTCCTTATTCTCACTTAACTCTGCTCACACACCCAAAACTACTAAATACGAACCAAGATTTCTCGCACTTTACACTTCGTGTTCCTGGTGATACTGATGCAATGGCTGGCTACAGCTTGGGTGTGGGAGTTGTGCTTAGCCCCACGTCTGAATGCGCCTTATGGAACCACATCCCAGTAAACAGTAGTTTTAGCGTTGTTGGGTTAACTAGTTCAGTCAAACCTATGCACATCGACGAGGTAAACGGTGTTTATTGCGTCAGTATACCTTATGACAAACAACAGCTCTGAGATGGATGAAGATATGTCGGTAACTCTGATCAGCGAGAAGTACATATATTGTGATTCTGGCAGGTCACATGAATTCTTGGGCTAGCCGAATAAGTCCGGTGGAAGCCCATCTTGGGGCGAAACAACTCAGTGGTTAGAGCACGAATTTACTGACCGAAAGGTCCGTGGTTCAAACCCGACCTGTCTCTAGACTTCTCCTGTCTGGGACTGGGCGACCTGGCAGTGCCTAGCTGCCATGCCACCCGAAGGAAACACGAGGGCTGGGATACTGCCAGGTTGCCCGAACCCAGACAAGGGAACTCGAGAAGCAAAAGCTAGGTTCGAACCATGGGTCTTCCGGTCAGTAAATTCGCGCTCTAACCACTGAGCCATCTCGCCCGTCCTGGGAGTATCCCAGTCCTCGATGCTCACCGCACAGATACTGAGGAATGACTGCTACAGTTATGTGCTGAACACCAGCACAAACCTTCAGCTTCAAGGCTCATACGGTTTGACTTGGAGGCCACGAAGTACAAACCAGATGTGAACTCTTTTTGACCAATAAGCGACCAGTTGCCGGTGGACAGCTTCGACGCGATCGCCGATCATTTTGGAGTACATCACCAGACGTAGTGAGCCCAAGAGAGAATTCGCCGTAGACACTTACCCATGAAAGGAGGCATACGAAGCCTTTATAAGACAATTTAAAACGGATGCCCTTTAGCGCCAGAAGTCAGTTTCTGACAAGTTGCGGAGTCAAAAGTAGCTAATATGAGCTTATTTGTGTTCTTGTAATATGTCCTTATCACCAGGCTCTCCACCCAACTTAACGGAGATTAGTCCACGCTTCGAGTTCTTTGGTATGGGTCCAGATCAAGCCCTAGCAGTTAGCACACCAACCACTCCACCTCCATATTTTCCCACTCCCGGGGAATTTGCTGTCAAACAGCCACCGCATTTTGAACATATCTGACAGAAAAGAAGTAAGGTCGCTTAAGCAACCGATTGTTTACAATTGTACGGGTTATGTTCTAAATTATCGGCCTGTGGTTTATGACCGGCCCTGATAAGTTGGATTGCTGGCTTTTTTGAATGGTCAGCCGATATACACCCTTGTTTCTTTTCACGGCACACAAAAAATTAAGTAAAGATTTCGCAAGACCCCATTTCTTCCTCCTACCTTAAGCTTATTACTTAACAGTGATAGCTATCCTTTAGCGTTCGCGAGGTCACCGACGGCACATATCCCACAGGCCTAATTCAAGCTCTCCCAATCAACACACTGGGTACCCGAACTTTGGGAGACCTTGTGCATACGAACAACACCGTGAACACCGTCTAGTTTAGCTAAGGCTGTGGCACCCAATCACTTGAAACCCTGCCCTCACACTTCGCCACTCATCCCCGAGCCTCCTAAGCCCTAGTCCTAAACCTCATTCCTCGACCTTGCTTTTTTACCGTCCTACGTTCTGGCAGTCACGTAAAAATTTTCTTCGTAAATGTGTCTGAGAAGGCAGGTTTTCCTTCCAACTCCCCCACCCCAGTGAATCTAAACTGCTATTCCATTGTTTTATCAATTCTGGGTTAGATCCCCACCTACATAAAGACCACTGCTACAAAGATCATGTGCCTCATTGTCATCCCATCTTCAACTGACAGCGTTTATTCCCTTGTCCGTCCTGTGGGTGCAGCACTGCCTTTCGTATTTCAGCGTTTCTCTTATGGCAAATGTTCCCCTTCCGGAAATGTGTATCCCCAAAGAACCTTCAATGTTTCTTTGAAACCGAACCTGTATCGTTGCTCTCATCAAATTACCCAAAACTGCTACCTTTTCCGTGTTTCTGCTACAGGAAGATTACATTCTGAAACTCCCCTCGAATCTCTGTACCTCCATCATTACATAATGTCAAACCCTTGAAGACTCCAGTGGAAGCCACCTTGGCTCGCTGTAATTCGCCCGTTTAACCCGATCATATCGTTATCCACATGAGTTTGCTGAGCATCAAGTCACCCTTTCTTAAAACTGCGCATTGAGTTATCAGTACAAATGGGGGGTACCAACTAAGGTAAGTTGTGAAGTTTTTTCAAAAGCCCACGGCTGAAGAGAAGGATATCGTTGTAACGAATAACGGTACGAAGTGAGAGGACTTACAATTGTGACGAAGCTGTCGGTGACTGTAGAGCACAATCCACTGATAACACGCTTCGCCAATGTCTTACATAGTGTAAAACAGCTCCGATCAGAGATGGTGTCGTGCGGACGGAGGAGATTTAGCTGCTCATCTAAAAGAACAACCCAAACCATAACGTTACACGGATACGAGTGGATGAGCGTAAAGCATGTTCCCGGTTTCTGTCGTCCGCATCAAACAAGCGTGCTGAAACAAGGGAGAATCAGTTACTTCATTTGGCTACCGTCACTACAAAACCGAGAAAGGTGAAACAAACGCCAGAACGTGCAATCACATCAGAATTTTTAAAATGAATAACCACCTTGGAGAAAACAGACAAGGAGGTTAGAGCTAGTCTACAACAAAAGATGGAAATGAATGCACCGCTAAATGCATTTAGCGAGCAGCTCGCTCAAACATGAAAAGAAACAAATATCGGTTATATACACAGACTGTGACACAGCCCTCCAAGCACAAAGTCACAGGATGACATCCTGGATGGTGGGGCGCAATAAAACCATCCTGTCCCGACTGAAAAAACAGGCTGCCCGGAGCCAGCGTTCTAAATAGCGAATCAACACACCGACTAAACAGATTTGTCTCGGGCGGGCGGCGAGACGAATGAGGCCGTGCTCTGATTGGTCAAAATGCCAGCTAACGGGATCGGACAGTCGGCGGACGGACGGACGGTCGGCGCTCTCTTCCAACCACTGTGAAACGTTGTGACAAGTGCGTGAATCCACTTGTGGTGATTTCCCTCGACCTATACAAAAGAGTGTTCCAAGCTAGTGTGCATTCTAATATGCCGTAGTGGGTAGGGCTAAATCTGACATGAGTTGCACGACCGCTTGCAACACATGCTCGTCCATGTCCTGGAAACGTACTATTTTTACTTGTTTCGTTATTGAACCCACATGCACACGATTTTTGAAGGCGGATGTTAGCACCTATTCGGCGCACGGTTGCCACGAAGCCTGATAAGCGTAGGTGGGATGACACTTCCAAGTTTCTCAACACTAGACAGCTGTGAATTCATACCACGAACTTTCCGGCCGTTTTCTTCGGCCGCAGGCTATTGGCACACCCAAACTGAGTTCGCCGAAACTATAGGGTTTTCGAAGTTGCTATTTTACTGAAGAGTCAGTCTTATCAATTTGCACCTTCCTG